TAGGGGAGAGAGAGAGAGAGAGAGAGAGAGAGAGAGAGAGAGAGAGAGAAATATTTACAGCTGGTGAATCACCCATATGGAAAAATCTCAATTATTAGAAAAAATAGTATTACATGAGCTCAAGAAAGGGACTGGATATTAAATCAATATATAAAATTCAATTGCATTTATAAAATTAAATAATTAGAAAATATGAGGAAGTAAATGATAAGAATTTCAATAGCCACACGAAAGCACATGGTACATAGGAAAATACAAAAAAGGTTAATTTTAAAAAATGTATTAAAAGGTCTATTTTTTAAATGTATTTAAATGTTTATGAGGAAGAGCAAATATGACAATGCTATTCCTTCCAAAATTGACTTATAAATTGAATACAATCCAAACAAAATCCCAATGACTCTAGTGGAGAATTTTAGCAAGCCATTTTGAACATTTATATGAAAAGTAAAAATCTGAAAAATAGCCGATACTCTTTTTAAAAAATATTTTATTATTTTTATTTCACGTGTATGAGTGTATTGCCTGCAAGTATGTGAGTGAACTGTGCCATGCTATGCCTCAGAAGTCAGAAGAGGCATCAGATTCTCCTGGAACTGGAGTTAAGGATGGTTCATAGCTGTCCATGTGGGTGCTTGGAATCGAACCAGGGTCCTCTGCAAGAGTCCTCAGTGCTCTTAACCACTAAGCCATCTCTTCAGGCCTTCAAGATACTCTTGAGGAAGAGTAAGAGGAGTTTTCTTCCTATGTGTAATGCTTAAAAAGCTGTAGTGATTAGGGGCTGGGGAGATGGCTCAGTAATTAAGGCCACTGGCTGCTCTTGCAGAGGGCTCAGTTTTGGTTCCCAGTACCCACATGGCAGCTAACAACCATCCATAACTCCACTTTCGGGGGATCCGACACCCTCTTCTGATCTCCACGGGCATTTCATGACGTGTGCACTTACACACATGCAGGCAATACACTCATATGCAAAAATAAAATATATTTCTTAAAAAGCTGTAGTAATTAGAGGATAAAACTAGATGGAGCTTTTTTAGTAGGTGCTTTATGCCCAAAACAGAGTAAACCTGGCATGGACACTGGAGGCCACTTTAGTGACAGGCTGACAATTTTACTTTGGAGTCCTGAGGCATATGGGCTTGAGAGGCCCAAGTAGTGGGGTTGAAGATAGTATTTTAGTCAGGGTTCTCTAAAGGAATGGAACTGATATAATGGATAAACACACACACACACACACACACACACGATTTATTAGACTGGCTTATGTGCTATGATCTGGGTAGTCCAACAATAGCTCTCTCACATAGGAGAGGCCAAGAATCTGGCAGTTGCTTAGTCCACGAGGCTGCATGTTTCAGCAGTCCCAATCTGGCACTGAAGGCCTGGAAGATTCCTAGAGAGCTGCTGGTCTTCAGTTTACATTAGAAGCCCAAAGAAGTTGGTTCTAATACCACATCTGTGAAAGAACACCACCGCAACAAAATAGATAAGTTCAGCATTGAGAGTGAAGGCAAGCAGCAGGCAAAAAGCGAAAATCTCCCTTCCACCATGTCCTTTCATATGGACTGCCACTAGAAGTTGCCACCCACATTTGGGGTGGCTTTTCCCAATTCAAATAATCTGATCAAGAAGATTCTCTCAAATTTTAGTTAACTCTAGATCCTGTCAAGTTGACAACCAAGATTATCCATCACAGATGGTAAGGAGGCTCAGAGAGGTAGGTATATATTAACAGCAGTGGAAATACTTTAACAACAGGTACTGAGCTATAATGCTTTTCACTGGTTATAATTATCCACATACACTTGATATTTGGCAGAAGTGACTTTAGGATAGTATTTTAGAATGGAGTGACTTTGGTACTGGAAAATTATAAACCTGGGGAACACAAAAACATATTCCCTGAGATTGTATATGTGGGAAAATGACATTGCATCTTTAACATATACCATAAAAATCATTTTAATTATTATTTGCTGTTTGAGACAGGATCTCAGGTATCCTCAGCTTGCTTCCAGTAGATATCCTAGAATCCTACAGACATTTATATAGAGTTGCCATATTTAGCAAACAAAGCTACAGTGTGCTATTATAGCCTGCATTTTGGAATGTTTAAATTAAATTTCCAATTATGCTGGAGAGATGGTTCAGCGGTTAAGAGCACTGGCTGCTCTTGCAGAGGACCTCGGTTTGGTTCCCAGCACCCACATGGTGGTTAACAACTGCCTGTAACTCCAGTTCCAGGGGATCTGATGCCCTCTTCTGTACTCCATGGGCATCGCATGACATAGGTGCACTTACACACGTGCAGACAATATACTCATACACATAAAAGAAAAATAATAAATAAAATATTTTTAAAAAAGCTGTAGTGAGGGGCTGGAGAGATAGCTCAGTAGTTAAGAGCACTGACTGCTCTTGCAGAGGACCTGGGTTTGATTAAAGCTTTGGTCTTCTAGACCACAGCATCACTGGCAGGCGGTGGAGACTTTAAGAGATTGGGCATTAGAGGAAGGAATTTAGGTCACCAGGAACTATGCCCTTGAATGGTTATTGGGATCTTCACCACTTCTAGTTTCTCTTTTTACTTCCCAACTGCCATGGGGTGGATACTTTCTCTTCCTCCCTTGGGTGGAGATGTGCTGCCTCATCACAGGCCCAAAAGCAATAGGGCCAACTGACAACCTACCAAAACCTCCTAAGCTACGAGTACAAATAAACATTTCTTCTTTAACTTTTTTTGATTTATTTTTATGTGTATTTTGTCTACATATATGTATGTGCACCCATGCCATGCAATGCTTGCAAGTGCTAGTAGAAAGCACTGTATTTCCTGGAAATGGAGTTACAGTTATTAGTTGCTGTGTGGGTACTGGGAACTGAAACTTGGGTCCTCTGGAAGAGCAGCCAGTGCTCTTAACCAAGCCATCTCTCCACTTCACATTTATTCTTTGTAAGCTGATTATCTCAAGCATTTTATTATATGGTGTGCCCTAGTTTTCTTTCTGTTGCTGTGATAAAACACTGACCAAAAACAGCTTGGGGAGGAAAGGGTTCATTTTATGTTACAACTCCCAGGTCATAATCCATCACTGAGGGAAGTCAGGGTAGGAGTTTGATGTGCAGGAACTGAAGCCGAGAACTTGAAGGAATGCAGCTTACTGGTTTTCTTCCCCTGGCTATGAATGTATCTTGAAATTTCGGTTTAAAAGCAACTTGAAGAATATGCATTATAAGGGTGCAGGAGAGATGACTCAGGTGAAGAGCACTGGCTGTTCTTGAAGAGAACGTGGGTTCAGTTCTCAGCACTCACATGGTGGTAACAACTGTCTGTAACTTGATTCCAGGGGATCCAACACCCTCATTTGATCTCCATGGGCATTGTACAACATGGGTGTACCTACATACATACAGGCAACACACTCATATACATAAAGTAAAAATAATAAAAGATTTCTTTTAAAAGAATGTATTATAAGTTGCAATTCCTTTCCATTAAACTAAAAAACAACCACAACTAAGATACGTTTTTGCATATTAATATTTGCAAGGGAATGAGAAACAGAGTTTATTGTAGATGTTTCTAAGGTAGGGCAGAGTCAGGGATGAGTTAAAGGAAGCCAGATTGATGGTGCTGGTAATGTTTTGTTTCTTTTTGGGGGGTGGTGTCTCTTTTGAGACAGGGTCTCCCTGTAGCCCCAGCTGGTCTGGAACTTTCTATGTAGACCAGGAAGGTCTCAATCTTACAGAGATCTTCCTGCCTCTACCTCCTGAGTGCTGGGATTAAAGGGGCGCACTACCAGGCCAGGCTGTTTTGCTTCTTAAATAGAAAGAAGCTGCACTGGTGTTTATTTTGCTGCTCTATTTCTTATCGTCCATCTCATGTAACATTTATAATTACACAAAATATAATAAGATTTGAAAAGAATTATCTAGAATGCTAAGTGAGTTGATCCTCTAAACGCAGTTAGAAAGCCCTATCTAAAGCTGGGCACAGTGGTCAACACTTAAAACTCAGCACTTGGGAGGCTAAGGCCAGAGGGTAACAAGTTCAAGGCTAGCCTGCGGCGACATAGCTAGACCCTATCTTTTAAAAAGGGGATAGGAAGATATCTCAGTGGGTAAAGTGCTTATATTAGGCAAGACCTTAATTCAGATCCTCACCATCCACATAACAAGCCCCATGTGAAGTGCTGGTAGGTGAAGATAGGGGGATCCCTAAGACTTTCCGGCCAATATGTCTAACAGAATTGAATTAGTGAACTCCTGGTTCTGTAAGAAAGCCTGTCTCATGTGGCCTCCACACACACACCACACAAACGATAAATAAAATCACAGATAACCCCACACCGTCCAGAATAACTCTCACAAAGAATAACAGCATGCCTTCCAAATATAAGGATAGTTTCAAATACAAAATGCTACACCATAGCAAGATCCTGGGAGAATTAATAAGTGGGGTGTACGCAGAACGCCAGTTCAGTCAAATAAATAGTATGCCAAGTAGGTGGTGTCTGCTACGTAGAATGCCAGTCTGTTGGAGGGGAGAGTGGTTGGGGGCTACAAGAGGGCATGAAACTGCAACTTTTCCCAAGAGTGGTCGCAGAAGATTACTAGGACTACGAGAGAGTCACAAGCTGAGTACCCTATTAAGCAAGTATAGACCTAAGGGAACTTGGCAATCAGAGAGCAAACGGAGTCCATTTCATAGTAAGTTCTCTTTAGATCCCCTTTCCATGTGAGAGAGGTTAGGAGGGTTGCTTATTCTAGGGTCCCTTTAAAGAAGACCGACAGATAGGATAAGGCCAATTCACATAAGCTAGGGGGAAATCAAATCCTTTCTGAGCTCACTCTTAAAAGGGCTGATTTTAGCACACAAAATAGTGCAGACCTCAAGCTGCTAAGAGGGTGTCACTGCGCATGGGCAACAAGCCCGCGCCAGCAAGTAAGGGCCCGTATGAAGGCGGAGCTAGAGGTCCCGGATAATACGTCACGGAGCGCGCGTGCGACGCGTAACCCGGGTGGTACTTCCCGACCTGGTTTCCTGGGCGACGCGTGGTGAGGCTGCAGGCGGTGGGAGCATGGGGCCTCCTGCGGGCTCCGGGACTCATCCTAGGGGAGCGGGGACACGGCGTGCGGGCGCGGGGATCCCCCAGGCCGGCGCGGGAACCCTTGCCGGCGTGGGGACCCCGCCGGGCCTGCAGACCGACTGCGAGACGCTGCTCAGCCGCTTCCAGAACACGGACAGCGTGCGCTTCGAGGACTTTGCGCGGCTGTGGCAGAGCATGAAGTTCTCGACCATCTTCTGGTGGGTGTGCTTTTGTGTGGCCTCGGCCCTTGCCTCCCCGGTCTCCCTGTGCTTTGTTGCTCGCTCCCTTCTCTATCTCCACCTCCTCCAGTCTGATTCTCCCAGAATCTCGTGCTTAGAAACAAAGCAGCCGCTCGCAGACGGCATCCTCTAGGAAAGAATTCCTTGGGCATGCAACGACCAGCGCCAGCTTCCGGAAGTTTGTATTTGAGCATGGCATTCCTATTTACTGCCCTGCCATGGAGGAAGCGCAGATCTCCCAGTTCCCCCACCAAGCATCAGTTTCTTGCTCCTGCGGTTGCCTTTCGATTTCCACAGGCGTCTCGGCCTGGAGGTCCCCCCACTCCGTATGTCCTTCTCCTTTCGTTTGTCCATTTCTAAGGTCACATTGAAGCACAAATCTTCAGAGCCGTTTTTGCTATTTGGACTGAGTAAGGTGTTGGTGTTCCCCGCCCCCAACGCCCCAGCACCCTGTGCTTAACTCAGCATTTAATCACATCTTGCATTTGTGTAGTTGGAAAGGCAGAGTCACGGGGAAGAGCACCGATGAGGGAGCCTAGCTGTCTGAATGTGAATGCAGGGCTCACTAACCACTAATGATTTGGAACAAGCTTTATCTGTAAAATAGAGACATAATAACTCATACAGTAGAGGATTCCATGAATTAATACAAGTTTAGTGTGTTCTATGTGCTAAATTAATGTCCATCATCATTACTAGTTTTGGTTTTCCTTCCCCTGGACTGAACCTTGTGAGGACAGTGACAGGATGAATGGAACATTCTTGTTGTTTTGAGACGTGTTCTCACCATGTATCCCAGGGTCTTTAGCGCCCAGGTATTTGCCTGCCTTGCCTCCCAACTCCTGGGATTACAGACATTTGCCACCATAACCCACTTGATTGTGCTGTTTCTATTAACATAGCAGATATCATATTGAAAAGGCTAAATGTTCAAGTGAAAGCTTATTAAAACTGTCTTGCTGAATAAAATGTAGACGTTCTATTTTTTTCTATTGATGTAAACTAATGACCTATGTAGGACAGGGATGGAGGATGACGATCTTAACCGATTGTGGCACTGTATTCCTGTAATCCCAGAATTTGGAGAGTTATGCCTGAGTAAAGAATCAGTGTGACTCTTGGTGTTAAGGCCAAGAGTGCATCGGATAGTTCAATGAAATGTGCTGTCAAGCCAGGCTTCACTCATACTTGTATTCAAACGGTATCGTTATTGTTTTCTGTTGATGTTATTAAATGAAAATTTCAACATTTTTATAGTTCTGTGCTTGTCAGTTGATTGTATCTGTTAAATAATATACTTTAAGACATTTTAGCTAAGGTTATATTTTAAAATGGATTTTGAGGTTGGGAGTGGTGGTACACTCCTTTAATCCCAGCACTCCCAAGGCAGAGGTAGGAGGATCTCTGAGTTTAAGACCAGCCTGGTCTATCTAGGTCGAGGCCAGCTGGGGCTATTTAGTGAGACCCTGTCCTCAAAACAAAACAGAGCAGGTGTGGCGGTACATGCCAGCACTTGGGAGGGAGGGGCAGGTGGATCTCTTTAAGTTCAAGGCCAGTCTGGTCAACGTGGAGAGTTCCAGGACAGCTGGGGCTACAGGGAAGACGCTGTCTCAAAACCACAAAAAAAAAAATTTTTTTTTTTTTTTCATTCCCCACTACTTGCCCTTCTGGTAAATCTAGTCAGCCTATCTAGAGGTTTTTGTTTTAGGAGGGTTAGCTGGTCCTCATCTAGCGGTAATCAGTTGTCAATATTCATTTGGATAAGATTGGGGTCTGCTGTTCATTTTCCCAGTTCTATGCTGGGTTACTATCTGGGAATCCTTTTGGCCACCCTGGCCAACAACTCAAAAGAAGGTATCGCCTGTCTGGCATTGTTGCTTGTTATGTAGCCTTTAGCTATACATATGTACTCTTATGAAATTATATTGGCCCCTTTAATCTTTGGTTATACTTTCCTTTTGGGTATTTAAGGCCATACAGTTGGACCAGATAAACCGATTTATTTTTACTCTTAAGGTTGTTTGAGGATCTGTTCCTCAGGGGTCACATGGGCTTGGGAGGAGCCCCTGGCTCCTTTCTTTTACCAGTTCCACCTATATGAAGATAAGTCAAAGGTCCTCCTCGACCATGGTTGGCTTCGCTTGCAAGCATGAAGGAAATGATTCCTCTGTGTTGACCCTCCTCTTTATAGACTGGACACTGGTTCAAGTCCATCTGGTGGGGTCTCCTCAGCCTCCTCGATCAAGAGGACACCACCATTATAGGATATTTCGAGAGCTGATCATTAAACTAAAAAGCTTCTGTACATCAAAGGAGACAACCAAGGAAGCAAACAGAAAACCCACAGAATGGGAGAAAATCTTCACCAGCGACACATCCAACAGAGGTTTAATAACCAGAATATATAACGAACTCAAAAAGCAGAGAACCAAGACAAGAAGCAACCCAATTAAAAGATGGGCTAAGGAGCTAAACAGAGAGTTCTCAAACGAT